TTCAGGGGTGATGCTCCCTTTGTAAGTTCTTCACCACATGCTTCAGCTGTGCAGGGCCCCATTCCCCTGATCAAGATTTGCTGACAGAGAAGTTTCGAACAGTGCATTAAGTATATACTAATGGCCAGGGAGCAGGGGTTATCTCCAGGGCGTGCACACATGTGCGATTTTTTTGGCAACCCCAGCAACGCTTGGCATTAGTAGATTCAAACTTTCAGTTTTTCAGTTATTTGTGAATAACCCCTAAGAGCCAATCCATGGTAACTACTACTTCTTCTTCTCCTTCTCCTTCTCCTTCTTCTTCTTCTTTTTTCCTGGAGCACCAATGTGAACTATGTGTTGCAAAGTCACAGCACAAGAGGGAGACGCTTAACTAGAGACTGAGCCTTCTCCAAGGTCCGGCATCCCCAACCCAAGGTGCTACCAGAGATACAGAGACTCTACGGACATAAGAAAAACTTTCTTTCCTTAAGTACAAGTTGAAAGTGCAAAGAACTGGTGGCCTGTGAATAATCCTAGGAACTTTTCTCTCTGTGAATCCAGTCAACAGCCTATGCAAGTAGTTTTGCATTTGCAAATTTGGGGATTGACCAAGGGCTTAAGATGTATCCATTGGAAGTGCCAAGGGTCTACTGTAGTGAATCTTGGTTGAGGAAGCTTTCAAAATTCTTTTGTTAAATTCATTCATTCTTGTCAGGGTTCCTCTGATCTTAAGATAGCTTCACCAACTAATGTCAAGTCTGAGAGTTCAGTGAATGACTTCCAAGCTCCCTGGGATTCCAAGGAATCCTTTCTTCTCCATCTTATTACAATAGGACCTTGTACTTATAAACATGGAACCTTTAGAGAGTTCTGAGCAATTCTGGTTATACTCAATGATCTGATGTTGAGAGTTGCTTTTAGAAAATTTAAGAATTTCTTCCCATAGATTACCAAAACAATGAATTTATGTGCATGTAGAAAGTGAGTATTATTCTTCTCTTAATTTTAACAAGGTTTCGCATGTTGCACATATGTACTGCATTTTTAAAATACAAATGAAAAAAAATGAGGAAAAAATAAATAAATAAAAATACTCCTTAAAAAGCATCATCAGCATTTCATTTTCCTAATCTTTTGTTTTTCCTGTTACCTTTGTTTTGGAGCAAACTATAATTGCAAAAATCAGCAGAGGGTCTAGCCAAGCCGAGTATCACTCACATAAGTYAGCTGCCCTTCCAGTTTTGAGTATAAAGTCTAAATTAAGTAAACACGGCTGCCGAGCATGGGGTGTGGCCAAACATCTTGAACTCATTTCTCTGATGGCAAAGGACACTGGCAATGGTAAATCCACATTCCCCACACAGATGCAGAAACAAATGCCACTAGGGAACACCTCTCCTGATCCCTTTCCATCAACTCTCTTCCAACACCAGCATTCAGGCTGGAAGGGCCTAAGAGTGTCCTCTGGTCACAGGACAGACTGAGGTTCTAATGTCTCCTTAGTATTTTCTGTAGCATGAAATGTTGAAACATAACCACTACTAATAATAGCATAATAGTTTTCCCTAATAAATTTCAACAAAAGATTATAAGGTTCGAAATTAATTGCAATAGCAGGGTTTTATCATTGTAATATAATTTGATCAGCAAACCCCTAGCTGGCCAGAAACCCAGGAGGGTTCTTTTATCCTGGATAGCTATGCTTTTTCTTCTAACTGTCCTGCTTTAAAAAAAAAAAAAAAAAAAAAAAGCCATTCTCATGCCTTCTTAAAGTGGACACATAAAATATCATTTAAACTCTTCTTAACATACATGGCTCATTGTGAGCATCAGTTACTATACTACAAAACAGAGTCCTGAAGACCCAATAAAATACATAAACTTTCACTAAATGCTTAAAGCAAACACATTCAACTTAAAACCCCAAGTTTGGAATACTTGTATCTCTTACATTTTATTTTACTTTCTTTTTAATTTTTTTTGTTTGTTTCTTTCATTACTATTTCTTCATACTGTTGCTTGACAAAAGAACTTTAATTATCCTTTTACAGTAGTTTATGACTCTCTTCCAATTTGCTTTTAGAACTTCTATAAACAAAAGCAGAGTCCTAAAAAAGGGTCTGCAATCACCTTCAACAATCTGACTGACTGAACTGACTGAGCTCATGGGCTTATGACATCTCTCTTGGTTTACCTTTTGTAATTCTGCATTCCAGATTGTTGTGGTACTATTCTAACACCCACCAGCTACAGAGCACATGTTACTGTTTAGCTGATCTCATTTTCTACTCAATACTTTCCGGTACACTTAGAACAAGTCAAAGGCTTTGGCCAGGTCTAACCCCAAATACCAGCCCTGCTTGTTCACCTAGCTGGGGTTTCCTGCCCTGCCTGCCCAGTACAACTGTAGATTTGCAAATATACTTCTACTCCCAGGGAAACAGAATGAAGAACAGCCTGTCATAGGCTGTCTGATGGGCAGCACGGAGGGCAGAAAAAAATCTGAAAGACACCTGGGAACTCACAGAGAGCAGGAAGTAAGAGACAAGTTAAAAGTTCTCCAGTTGTCACCCAGCTTTCTTAATGTTATCTTTGATCAAGGCGGTCCTGCAATCTGCCAGGACTTCTTCACACTAAATGCATCTTCTTCTTGCCTGTACCTTTCACACACTAAGTGACTCCATGGCTTACTTGGCAAGAGCCCAAAGGCAGCACACACTTCTCCACACCAATGAGGATGGCTGCCACTAAAACGCAATGGGTGGAGACAGCTCAATAATAGTGCCAGTTGAGCACATCTTGATTCACTGCCACAAAGCACATGGTAGTAGTTGCTATTGGCCCTCAAAGCGCACACACACGCTAGGATGCTAAGAGCAAAAAAACTCTCCAAAACACCCTTAGCCTTAAGTGGCTAGACTTTGTCACCAAATTAACAAATCTGTCCAGCAGCCCTTGACTGAGACACTAAGGGGTGTGACAGGAAGACTTTGTGTTAACAATTCTAGATTCTGTGGGGTATCTTAACAGAGTCGGGAGGGAGAAGAATGCTAAGTGTCACCACACACACCCTCCTCTCCTGCCTGCAGAAATCTCAGTGGGACAGCTGTCTGCCTACCTTGCAAAAAAAAAAAAAAAAAAAAGGAAAAAACCTCCACTATTTTAATGCAAGGATGGAAAAGGCCACCAACCTCTACAGGTCTTCTCAGCTTTAAAGAGCAGAGGTCCAGCAACTCCATCAGTACCCAAGGTCTGCTCTTCAATTCCATAGAGCACCCAGCCTCAGAGCAAAACTGACCCCTGGTGGGACAGGCACTCTTCCACTTCAGCTGCTCACCCAGAAGCATGAAGAAAAGCTAAAACCTGGGCCTTCACCTGAATTCAGAATTTTCTGCTTTGAGTTAGGAACCTAGGGGCCCTGCAGGGGAGATTCAAACCTCCTGCAGGGACCAAGATGGRTGAGATTGCCCACTAAAAGTTCAGACAAGCAATGACTGGCTCAAAGAGACATGGGACAGTCTCAGATCAACACCAATCCAAAGCCAATACCATGCTGTGCTCAACAGGATACATATGATCTTTGCCCTGTGCTCTCACATTCAAGTCATTCAAATGATTCCTCCTTGTAGCATGTTCCCCGTTCCCAGCATGAGTGTGGGGCAAGCGCGCGTGTGCACACACACATACACACACACACACACACACACACACACACACACACAATTACATAAAGACATCATAAACAACAGTAGCACCTAACTTGTGCAGTTGGGGGAGGACCAGGAGATAGTGGGGGATTGGTTGGGCATAGGGTCTGATCATCAGTTGGGCTTACATAATCACACAAATATGGCTGGAGAACACTTCCCTGGAGATCAGTTCAGCAGATGCATCAGTCTCACTACCCCCSTCCCAGAACCAGAGGCAAGCCAGGGTTAACATGGAAGCACCCCATGTAGCTGGAGGGGGCAGGGATCTGGCTGCTGCCATAGCAATGTCAAAGGCTGCCAGAAACTTCAGGGTCCAAAACACAGGGCCAAGGTGCTGCTCACTGGCACCTGTTCCTTCAGACCCTCTTCCTGCAATCACTGTCCCCAAAGTTCAAGGACAGGCCAAGCCACAGAAGTGCTGACTTGCAATGTAAACCAAACCAGTTGCTGGAAGGAAACCAGGCCCTGACCCCCAAGTTCCTTTACGCCACCATTTCTGTCCAAGCTATGGGGCACAGGCTCTCTGCCTCACTTGGGAGCCTTCGGACAGCCTGGACACCCCATTAGGAGCCAGCCAATTCAGCACCATTCCCGTTTCCATTTTAAACGATGGTAAATGTGGGGCATAAGTTGGAGGAGGGCCCCCCACTTTGCTAGTGGGAAGGCAAGAATCCCCACCAGAATAGGAGCATGTGCTTAGTTGGGAGTTCTGTGTTTGGGACAGAGGAGTGATTTTTTTTCTTTAGGAACATTTCAGAGGGGCAGGATTAAGGGGGAAGGGAAGGCTCTTCCCTCTGTCTCGGTACCCAGCATCATAGGAACCACACTCTCAACCAGAGGATAGAGTCCTGAACAATCCTGGAGCACAGCCACAACCGCAGGGGGGAAAGGGCCATGCCTTTGACGACAGCTAMGGTTCTGGTAGCTCAGAGCCGAGTTCCCGGCACAGCACGCCGGCCTCTGGCGAGCCAGCGCTGGAGCGAGCTCAGGAGCGCGGCGCACACAGGGTTACAGCCCAGCCGCCGCCGCCGCTGCCGGTGATTGACGCGCGGGGGTCACTTGAGGCTCGCGCAGCTCCCCCAGCACAGGCAAGCGGCGCGCTCAGCCCACCCGGGGCACCACGGCCGCCCACCCAGCCGGCCCCTGCCCTTGGCCTCCCGACACCTGGCGTAAGAAAGGAAGCGACAAAATGGAATCGGCAGCTCAGCTCCTTATTGCACTTTTCCGTGGCGGCCGCAGGCAAAAACACAATCCGTAAAATAAAGCACAAGGAATCCATCCGCCGAATAAAAACCCAGAGTCCCCTACCTTCGGCCTTGGGATGGCAAACTGGTCCTGTGTTCTCTGACCCACGGATCCAGCCCCTTCTTCATGAATTATTCCGGCCAGTCGGGATATTGTGCATTTTTTTCATGAACACCTGTTTCAAGTAAGGGGTAAAGACCTTATTGAAAGAATTGTCCTTAAAAAACAGCCTGTGCCTACGTATGTCCATCCAGGCATGCATGCGTGTTTGTATACACACGTATGCACACGGAAGATCCATGTACATTGGAGCACCAAACTAGGCAGTGGGATAATGGGAGAGTCGGCTGGTTGTGAGCATGCTCGCGCCGGGAACAGATCCACCCTCTGTTATTCCTCTGAATAAATATAAATCACCATCAGAAACCCAAACAGAAGCATCCCTCTTGAATTCCTGCTGCTGAAAAACACGGAATAAATTCAGCCCGCAGACACAGAATCTAATCAGCAGCTGTTTTCTGAATCCAGAGCCAACCCATGCCTGGCTTGTCTTTTCCACTAGGAGTCCAGGCCTTTTTTGAAAGGGGTTTTAACCTTTTAAAGATACAGTACACCAATTATCACTTCTGAATAGCCATCCTTTGGAGTGCAGGAAGCCAGTTCCATGCCTACAACCACACAGGGCAGGGTGGCAAGCAATGACAATGATTTTATTTATTGGTGCCCTTTAAAAAGTACATTGCCTGTGTTTCACATACATGCATGCATATAAAAGGCATATATATGGAGAGAGAAAATATGTAAATGTAAGGCATAAGACTAGGCATACATATTCATTGCCTGATGAGCTTCTCAGTGATGAACTGGCATATTATGTAAACACTATGATCCTTCACTTCCGAACACACATGTTCTCTTGGTCAGATGATCAGGGAACTCTTGTCAGCACAGGTGCCATCCTGCACCAGCCGCTTACTGCTCATCAAGAGCCAGGATGCCTGCAATAGTGGCTGAAGGAGGTGGGGACCTATGCCGCCCCAGAGTTCACCACAGGGCACTGCTTGCCAGCCCTGCAGTTCCCGGGTCCATGTCCTCAACTCAAAGGATAATTCTGACACTGTTTCTCAACTCTAACATGATCTAGGACCAGATTGTGTTCCAAGTCATAATTTTTTTCCCACCAGAATCGGGAATCAAAACTACCACCTAAATCATAGTGTATCAAAAATTGAGATTTGCCCTTCCTCAAGATTTCAATTAGCTTTTGTTACTTTGTTTTTATTTTTTACTCTTTTTTAAAGAGCAGGATTGAGCATGGAGGTAGAAAAAAAAAAGGGGGTAGAGAGATAAACCACCTCCAGTCTAAATTACACAACAACAACAAACAAACAATCAAAAAACCTCACCAAGTACTTTAGCCACCGAGATGGTGTTTATTCTAAGTTTTTCTTTGGCTTTTAAAGAGGTAGCACTGAGAAGAAGCAAAACTTCTAACCTGACTCATGTTTGAAAGGAAAACAAATGCCTTTTTCAGTTGGGAATTTTTTTTTCCACACACATTCCTGCATGACATCCTGGCCCCCTGCAAGCCCCACAACTTCAGAATCTCCCCTGGTTCTTGCCCATTAGCCACAGGGGCCACCAGGCTCACCTCCGTGGTGGTATTCCTACAGTCACTCCAGGACAGGTCCCTCCAGCTCTAGCACCAGCGCCTACTCCCTCCCTTGCCCAGTTCTGTCAGGCACACTCCTGACATCAGTGTGTTGTCACTCTCACCTGGTCGCAGGCACTGTCTGCTCTGTCCTCCCCGACACACACACACACACACACACACACACACACACACACACACACACACGCTCTCCCATCCCTCCCCCCACTTCCAGGGCTCTTTAGCAGAAAATTATCATATTTCATGTGTCATCGCCCTAGCTAGCTGGGCCTGTCACCGATTGGCTGGGCACTGGCAGCCGGAAATGTCACCAGCCACACAGCATGGAGCTGGCTCTCCCTCAGTCATCACAGACCTGAGCCCAGGAGGCTCAGTGACAAGGCACAGACCTACCACAGGGAGCCTGTCACTCTCTCTCAGCCTCGCCTTCACCCAGCACTGGGGGAGGGAACAGCCAGGGGAGGAGGTGGGAGGGCACCCGCAGTGAGGGAGGGAGCTGTGTGTGGAGAAGAAGCCAAAGATGTCTCCATTCGGATTGAAAGACCTGGAGACAGTGTTCCTGACCAAAACATTCTCTCTTCACATAAAGTAGACAAATGAGGACATTTATCCCTCCATAAATGATTACATCTGAAAAAAAAAAAAAGAAGAAGAAGAAAAGAAAAGTCGGGAAGGCTGGGTGTAAACAAGATCTCTACTCGTGGGAGTTCATCTGCTGGGCTTATTCCCCACCTAACAGCACGTGTCCCTGGTGGAGAACCACAGTATCGCCAGGCTGGCAGGCAGTCCAGAAAGTGATTCTGGTCCATCCGGTTACCTTTACAGAGAATAGCAATTAACCCTCCAGGAAAGGAGGCGTCTCAACCTGGCTCTGCAATGCATTATAAAGCCCACAACTTTTCAAGAAGCAAATGGTCTTTGTGATCACAGGAGTCACTTGCATTTGCCACCTGGGAGTCTTCTGCTGGTTTAATGAGACTGAGCACTTAAAGGTCCCTTCATTSTCTTCTCCTGACTAAACTACATGCTATGTCTCTGGCCCTTTGTGTAAAAGTTATTTCTCAAATCTTTCATTATATTTAGGGTCTAAAAGAATCTTCCCAGAGAGTCAACTCTGCCATCCCCATGATGTTTCAGTCTCCTAGCCTAGTTCTGCAAGTGTGGCTTTGGGTTTGGGGAATGATAAATTGGGCTCCTGTGCTTATCCCTTTTCCTTCCGACCCCCCAAACTACTTTCATGACCAAAAACATTAGTAGCCATGCTGGGACACAAAGAAAAATGCCTTCAAGAAATCAGATATTTTAGCAGGATGCAGTGGTGCACACCTGAATTCCCAGCAGCTCAAGAGGATGAGACAGGAGGATCGAGGTTCAAAGCCAGCCYTAGCAACTTAGCAAGGCACTAAACTTAGCAAGACCTATCTCAAGATAAAAATCRATCAATAAAAAGCAATCAATAAAAAGAAAGTAGATCTTTTGAGGAATAAGGGGAAGATCCAAAGTTGACAGGGCAAGGGTGAGGAAAGGCTGCTTCACGGTGATAAACTCATGGTTCTGCACGGGCCCCTGAAGAAGTAAGTACTTGGGTTTCCAAGTTCAGAGAATCCAGACTGGACAAGGGTCATGGGCATCGATGCAGGAGTATATTAAGGACATCAAGAACAAGGACAGTTAGCTCCACACAGAGTAATTGTACACAGAAGTTATTTCACAGCTTCTTTGGAAAGTGGGAGGTTTTGTAAACAAGGACAGGATAGGGACGAAAGTTTGAGAAGAAGATTTACATTAAACAGGGATGAGAGGTGGGAGGGAAAGGGAGTGAGAAGGGAAACCGCATGGAAATGGAAGGCGATCCTCAGGGTTATACAAAATGACATATAAGAG